AATAATAAAGATATATATTATAAAAGATAGGGGAATAAATCATGGAAGGGGAAGGGATCACTCAATTAAAAAGAGGTTTTGATAAAAGTGGTTATCAAAGGGGATAGAAGGAAAAACACAAATTTATTAAGTGGATGGATAAATAAATGTTAAAATATCAAAAAAAAAATATGAGTAGTTATCAACGAACTTTTTTATGACTTTTAAAAGTTTAATACATGAGTAGTTCTTTATATTCAACTAGCACCAAATAACGTTTTAGAACCTATATTTTGGGTGTCTTTTTTTAAATTATTTATTTTGAAAGACGCATTCTAGTTGCTTGATCCACACTTCTATCAATTAGCGTTTATATGCTTTTGGTTGAATGTTTTTATTTTATCTTGTGGACAGTTTCTCAATGATCATCCCAAATTTTTGAAGAATCCACTTTATATAGCAGGGATTTCATACATTGGTATCGTTGTTCCAAAAATCACTCTAGACTTGTATGAAGGTAATTATATTAGTTACTTCTTTTTCAATATTTCATTTTTGACGTTTTACAAATTTATAGGTAATGAGCGTGGGGATCAACCGACATTGAATATTCAAGTAAACATGAAACCAAACCCTCTAAGATTTATAATATCATCTTTTTTATAATAACGGATAACTTAGTAAATCCAAGACCTCTTAACAAATTCATAAATTATCTTTTAAATTGATAAATTTGAATGTAGGGGTATATTCTTATCAGTCCTCTTACTGATAAGTTCATGGATTTCAATTCAAGACTTGAATATGCTCATCGTATGGCACTTATATCAGATGATATTTATAAGGTAATTTTGTTACAGTTTTTAAAAACCTAAAGTTAAACCGTGAGTGTTAATTAATTTAATATACTGATTTTGTTTTGCAGTCTGCAGTAAAAAATTGTTATGGTAACTATTTGGACATTGATACAGCTAACTCATTATGTGTAAATAGTCTCCATCAATATGAGCAAGTGAGAATTATGAATTGCTTTATTAATATGATATTTTTGAACATGATATATATTGCCATGAGAATTACAACTTGCAGTGCACATGCCGTATCAATTTGGATAATATTTTGGAACCATTTTGTGACGAAAATGATCCAATGCCAGATTGTCAAGTAATCTCTCTCTCTCTCTCTCTCTCTCTCTCTCTCTCTCTCTCTCTCATATGTCTGCTTTATGAAGCTATAAGAAATTAAGAAATGACAATAATGAATGAAACTTAATAACGTAGTTTACCTTTAATACACCCTTACTTACGGTCATGAAGCCTTTCTGATGTTAGTTGCTTGAATATAATTGTTGAATGTATGGTCTACTTATTCTATAAGCAATTTTACTTACACTCTTGTTAACCTTTTAAATGATGTGCTTTCTCACATAAGATAATTTTAGTAACTTACATCATTTAAGGCCGGTGGGTATGATTCATCCCTTTCATGCTAATTTATTACGGTCTTTGTATGCCATGTCACTCTCCACACCATACCAAATTTGTTAAGAAATACCCATCACACTATCATAATATTTTAATTAAAAGATTAATTGTTTCTTTTGCATTAAAAATTGGAAATCAACGTTTCCCTACGCTAAAGGCCCCATGATTTTCCACGACGCGTTTAGGGGACGGTGATTCCAGCATGGCCACGTTGCTGAGGCCTTCCACAAAAGTTCCTCCGTGCAGTGGAGGTCCCATACCTAGTTGCTTAATTTACTAATTATTTTATATTTGGTAATTTTTGTTTAAATTATATGAATTTGAGTACCATATCCTAATAAGATTGATTGATTTATATGAATTGGGTAATGAAAAAGGTTTTGGCATGATGTTTTCCTACTAATACTATGCACTTAAGATTTGTTTCTTGAAGTGTTTTAATTAGTAATAAAATTCCAATTTATTTTGATCATTATAGGAAGCTTTTGAAAAGGTTGTAACCGTTTGGGCAAACAATGAAGTTGTACAACAATCTCTCAATATCCGTCAAGTACGTGTGACTTTTAGTTTCTTGAAAATATTACTAAATCCAGACTATGATTCAAACTCATTCGATAATTTTTGATTTTAGGGAAAAACGGGAAGATTCGAGGAACTCAACAATACCATGCATTACCAACAAGGAAAGAATGACACATTTTGTTATTCTTATGATATTTTTAGCAGTTTTCCCTATCATAAGAAACTTTCTACTAAAAATTGTAAATCTTTAATCATGAGGTAACATATGGGTTCCATCCCTCCCTAATACCAATAAAATTATCATTACATATATGCCTAAAATATAAAATTGATTGACAGTGGTGACCATGACATGACATTTCCGTATGTTGGCGTAGAGCAATGGATTGCTTCTCTCAACCTAAGTGTTGAAATCCCATGGAACCCTTTCTATGTTGATGATCAAGTTGGGGGGTGAGATTTACCTATTTATAACTCAATTATTTTAATACATGGGACCTAATTCATTTGGCTTTTAACACATCAGGCCTACAATATATAAACATACTAATATAGGACGTGTTTTAAAGCCATGTCGACAAAAAATCTCATAAGAACTCTGTAATTAAGTATGCCCAGACGGAAGTAGTATTAGGATGAGTGATCTCCTGAGAAGCCTTCGTGTTCGGTGTCCCAAAGAGGACAATATATTGGTAGGTTTGGATAGGTATGTTACAAATGAAGTATCATTATTCCCCTGCAATGGGAGCCAAGTGGTTAAAGAGTGGAATTTCACACAAGAGTTTAAGGGTTCAAACCCTAGCACACCTAAAATATTGTTACTGATTCGTGATTGACCTCCTATGTGTGCCTTGTGGCGGGTTGACATAGGTCGCTTAGATGGCACGGTTGAACATCTTTTACTATTATACAAACTATTTTCAATTAATTAACATAATTGATTATGCTCTTTGCTATAGTTCCACAATAACTTTATCTTCATTAATTTTTTTTTTCAGATATGCAACGAAATATGTACAGAACAACTACTCACTGACATATGCTACGGTTAAAGTATGAAATAATTCATCATATTTTTGCTAGAAATTTATTTGTTTCTTAGATATTTTACAATCATAGATCCTAAAAATATATCTTACAAGTGAAGGTGTAACTATATTGTTCAACAACCATTTAAATTCCACATATATAATATAGTTATATCTACACAAATATATGACCTTGGTGATTTTGATGTTTGTAGGGTGCAGGACATTTGGTGCCACATTACAAGCCTAGAGAAACTATTGTATTAGTAGAAAGATGGTTTTCGTCACAAACTTATTCAAGCGATTCTTAAGTGAGAGATCAGGGTGGACATTATATGATGTGACATGAAGCATTTCATTCAAGAAAAAATAAAATGAAACAACTTCTCAATATTATTTCCAATAAATATTAAATCCAAACAATACATTATTTATTTTAAATTTGACTATTTAGAGTTATGGGTACTAAGTATCAATGTAAATGACATAGAAATTCACATGAATAGTCAAAATGTCATGTTAAAGTCAACATTTTCATCAAAAATGAAGTTGGCATCTATCAATAGAAGTTTATATATAACTCATAACAATCTCACTAACTAGTTGTTCAAAAATACGTTTAGGAGAAAAAGTACAAGTGTCCACATCACATTATCTGACTTGTATTAGATTATAGTCCAAATCTACTTTACTACTCGATAAATTCAAATTATCTATAAACCAATGACACAAATTCATCAACATTCATATGCTATTTTAGTGTAACCTTAGAATTTACACAAGAAATTTGTAACACCCGATTTTACAGGATTTGTTTAAAGTTAAATCAATAAATAAAATTGGAACTTATATAAGTGAGTTAGTGATGTGTAAAATCTAATATTAAATTTATAAAAGGATTTGACCAATGTTAGGGACTATTACACAACTAGGAAAGTGTACCTAATTATATTATAGTATAACTTTGATAAGAATGAGATGTCGCACTCAAGGGGAACAAGTATCATTCAGTTCAGAAAATCGGATTGCTATTTAAACTAAAACCAAAAATGAAAATTGGGGAAAATTATGTTCAATTCTAAATAACAAGAAACAATCTAAGACAAAACAATGACAAAAAAATTGAAACTAGAAACAATGATACTAAAGGTGTTTTCATTTAGATTCGATTGTCCCTTCAGTTATTGTTGATTTATATAAAGTGCAATGGATATTACTTGTCTATCGATTCCTACTATGGTTAAGCCTCTTGGTCCGATTCTAACCCTTATGATGATCATAATGTAACGTTCCAAAAATATAATCCAAAATTTCATTTTTAATTTAAATAAAACAGTATTCCAAAGATATTATCCATACATGCCAATTTGAAAATAAGTGTATCAACATCATATAAATCAGAGTAACATCTCAAAAACGGAAACCATGTAGTGTGTGCGATGCAATCACCCCGAGCTCTTCCCCTTGGAACCGGAAGTACCTGAAACATAAACTAAAAAACCGTAAGCACAAAGCTTAGTGAATTCCCCAAACTACCCCATACCATACATAATAAATCACATACTGGGCCCCCGCCCCACATCGGGCCTCACGTGGCATCAGGCCTCGTCGGACATCGAGCCCCGCTCGGTTTACAGATCTGTTATTCTCAGGCCTCGCCTGTCACTGGGCCTCGCCCGCTACACACATACAGTATACATCACATAGTTATGCTAACACATATAATGATTATAAAAACTAGCATATGTTATAGTCATCGGGCCTCGCCCAACATCGAGCCCCGCCCCGGTATACATAGAACCACATAACACATGCAAGGGTCACACAGACTCCTGGCATCCTATCATAATCAATAAAGACCGACATTGGTGCCTTAGACCTAATAGACCCAATGAGGAAACTCACCACGAATGATGAATTTCACTGAAAGAAATACCTAGCTGCTGCCCTGACGACTCCTCGAGCTAAAAAATCTAAACAATACCCAATTAACAATTGGGTTCCAAATCATAACTACAACCCAAACATGGGGTAGATTGACCATTTTACCCCTGACCTAATTTGATCCAAGACCAAGGCCCAAATCCACAATTTAGAAGGCCCAAAACCAAAATAATCATTCAAGGCCCACTTATGGCCCAATTTTCCAAATTGGGCCTAAATCTTATATGGACTCTACCCTAAGGCCCAATAATTTTTTCCTTAGCACAAAGGCTTAATTCCAAATGGCCCATTAAGGCCCAAAGCAACATGGTCCAAAGAAGTAACCCCAACCAAGGCCCAAAAGATGTGAAGCCCAACAGGCTGAGTACGCGGGGGGGTACTCAGTTGTAAACTAAGCATACACGCAACCTGGGTTGTACGTCGTGCGTACAAACTTGTACACCCAGCGTACGAAGCTATTAAGCCAAAAAATGCTTTAATCTCTTAATGACTAAGACTAACAACCCAAAATCCAGATCTAAGCCCTAGATGACGTCAAGAACTATAAAGTCACTGACTTGGTGACTTTGCATGCCCCAAAAGGTCTCACTTTCAAGATAGAGCATCATACTTTCACAAAAATAGCATAACTCATGCATGTATGGATTTAGACCTTACAGGTGGCAACTTTAAGACTTAGAAGTCTAAAAAATGTGAAGAGGGGCAACTCACAACTTCTGGAATTGCAGCAAACCGCCAAAGCTCACTCATGGGGCCAAAAGTTAACCAAAAACAAGCTACAAATAGATCTAAGCTATGACACATCAAGATAAGAGCTTTATACATCTAAGGAGTGCCAAATGATGATGATATTCCGGATCTATAAGCTCCCACTCTTCCAATGAAGCTTCAAGATGATCTCCTTCCTTCAAAAAACCAATATACACCCAAAAGACCTTCTAAGATCAAGAACACTCAACTATGGAGTTAGGGTTTCGAGTATAGGGCTAGGAGGACAAAGGAGGCTGAGTAAATGAGGGTATCATGTCCATAAGGATGATTATATAGTGGCCAACCCCAGAAATTAGGGTTTTCAAAAGTCATTATATACGCCCCGCGTACATCTCTGTACGCCTAGCATACGCCTCCAGATCCACGATCAAACCTTCGCATGAGTACGCTAAGTGTACTACTTGTTACGCCCCACGTACTCGCTTTACAGCTTGTACGCTAAGCGTACCTTGTGGTACGCCCCGCGTACAACTCAAGGACTAAAATAGACAATTTAATTAATACAAGGGCAAAAGAGAAACTAACCAAGATTCAAGTGTTACAAATAAGGTCATTAACTCAATTCTCATGATATTAATTTTCCCTATTATTAGTCTTTAGCTCATATCAAGCAAAATTTAAAATATTGATCTTAATGGTCATGAATATCAATCAGTGCACTGAATGGTCATCATATGTAGTTCATAAACATTAAAGTTAATTACTTTATAACCTAACCCTAGTATTTGGTCCAATACTAATCATAACTGTCATGGTCATAATGTAACATTCAGTGTCAATTACATTTCAAATTATAGCTTAAACCAAAAATTATTGCGATTCCATTCCTACGCATGGCGTAAATGGAGTTATGCCCCGCGTAGCTCATTTTATTTTGTCGCGATTTCAGACTCGTACGTTGTACTTACATGGAGGTACGCTGGGTGTACTCGTGTAAGGGTCAAACCCTAATTTTAGGGTTTGGACCTTATTTAAAGATCTTTATGTCCTCAAACCCTTCACTTATCTCCAACCTCCATCCCTCTTAGACCTCATGTCGAAATCCTAATCTTTGTGTGCAAAATTTGAAGTATTTTAGTGATATTTTGGTGTTCTTGGCGGTGAAGAAAAGCTCTTGGAGTTGTGGTGTTTCTCTCAAGCCTTTAGATCCAGATTCTTCTAATCTTAGTGCATCTTCAAGAGGTATAAAGTTCAGATCTTGATGATTGCTTTGATATATCTTGTTTAAGATTAGATTTATGTCTTCTTTGTCCCACGATCTTGATATTTGTGAGTATGGAATACTCTAGAGCTTTTGAGTTGTCCTTTCAAGCACTTTAGAGTGTTTAGTGTCATAAAAATGCAAGCTTGGACCTTGGTATTCTTCCATGCAAGAGTTATGAAGTTTTAGATGGTTAAATGAGTTAGGGTTTTGGTGTTGGGCTCCTTGTGGCCATGCAAAGGCATAAAGGTTGCAACTTTATAGATTTATACGTTTTATTAGGCTTGGATATGAAGTTTGGACGTTAAGTCTTAACCAATTAAGACCTTAGTTTAGAGTTTGGAACTTAGGTGTTTACGCTGGGCGTAAACCTGAGTACGCTGGGTGTAGAGGGTTATGGCCTCGTAACCTTCCCATGGATCGGCTGTATGTTAGGGGTAATGTGGAATACGCCAGACGTACTCCCAGAAAACCTATTGGGCTATTTTTGAGTCGTGGGCCATTAGGGGTTTTGGGTCGTGATTAGCTGGGTTAGGTATGGGAATGGCAAAATGGTCTTTTGTCCTTAATAACATAAAATATGATTTGTACCATTGATTATGGGTTAAGACCATGAGTTTTATTAGGGTTATCTTTGGGTTTTGATTAGTGAGAGGAACCGTGTTAGAATCAGCTCGAGTGTAAGATTCAGGCCCCGTTTGATAGTTGCTGACTGAGTAATTGCTGAATGAGAAATGTCTGTCTGGGTAAGAAATCCTGACTGAGTAAGAAATCATGTTGTTTGATTGTACATCTGACTGGATGAGCTGACTGATGACAAATGACCATTTTACCCTCGTTCCAAACCAACATCCTAAAACATTAATATTTAAAGTAATTTATCATAACTTTTATCATGATCAAGAACAATTTTAAACATAAAACAATTTTCTACTAATGAAATCAACATCATCCTAAATAATAATAGCACAATTAAGGTCAACATTGCCAACATATATCCAAACAATATTTAAAAACTTCATAAGTTCTCAAAAACTTTAGAAAGATACTTGCCACCAAACAGTTTTAATTTAAAAGATACTAATATTAATATATATATAAAGTTCAAAATCCTGGATATGAATTTATGTTGAATGCTCATAATCTCATATTCACTTCAATTCGTTATATATTTCAAACTTAATTTTTTACTCACAGCCGTTTCAAGATCAAATAACCTGATATATAGAAGCAATCTACTAAGATAGAGTTATCCATGCCTATATGATATAGTATACATGGGGAACATCAACCTCAATACAATGAAAGCATTAAATGTAACAACACCTAACTTCACCTAGAATTTATACTCAAGATCAAATGGCAGACAAGAAAGAAAAGTCTAGCGCTCAAGCTACAGGAAGCACTAAAATGGGAAGATCTCAAGAAGATGAAGTTGCAGGAGATGAAAGCATAACCGATTCTAACCCATAACTTCTTCTCTAATCTATCAACAACCTCCATGGC